GATTTTAGGAGATAATCTAGTTTTGAAAAAGGATTTGTGTATAGGGTATGATAGTGGGGAAAATGAATGCTTCTTGTCATCTGGAGTCAATTTTAACTTGAATCATTAATATTTGGGGTCAGACTGCCTCTAGTCTTTTACAAGTGCACAGGAGATGGGAGAACACAACTAGCATTTCTTCCATCTTCCACACAAAAGCCACAAATCATCACAGTCTCCAAAGGTGTCTATGCATTCACCACCTTACAAGGCAGACTATGCAATGGGACTATGCTCAAAAAGCCCCATCCCTGGACTCTGCAGCTTGCATGTGTGGTTGACACCCCAGAAAGATCACATTCTAATTTGATCTGACATATATATTCTCTGTAGGGTTGACCTGGAAATTTTATCTATCTTGTGGCAATGTGACAAGTGCCATTCCACAAGGCTTTATGCAGTATTAGCTGGACCAAATCTGTGTACCTGTGTGTCTGTGGTGAAGACGAAATAGTACAAACCGGTGTAAGCCACTTGCACACTTTCTAATCACAGTAGCTGAGGACAAAATGTGTCAAATGCTAAAATAGATTAACATTTGCTTTACAGGCCTACAATAAAATGCTAAGTACAGTAGTCTTGTGTTCAGAGATTGCCTGTGACATATATCCTGCTCCTGAAGTTGAGCAATTACCCTTGTCTTCTCTGTCAAAAAAGAGAGCATAGTTCCTAGAGGTTTGGTACTTTTCTCATGACAGTTTGCTGGAAGCCCTTTGCTGGGCAGAGACCTTATCAAGCCAGCCTGAACATTAGGACACTCTACAAAGTATTTTGGGCTTAAACCCCTCTGGAGAAGAGAGAAAAACTGATATTTGCTCACCTTCAAATCAGGTGTCTGAAAACTGAGAAGCTGGTGGACATAGGTTCTTGCCACTGCAGATTCGGATGATGTAATCCCAAATGTTTTTCCCAGGGAAATTTGTCTATTAGACCTCCCATTGAGATGGCCAACATGAAAATCTCTGCAAATTCAGTATTTGATGAGAAGAAGAAAGGTAGAAGAGTTGGTCAGATCTAGCCACGAGGAAACTCTCAGTATTTTAAGAAATAAAAAGAATTGCATAATTGTGGCAAAGATAAGGTTGTTGCTAGATGAACCTAATTTCACAGGCAATATGTGAAATAGATGAAGGTGATGGGAGCAATTAGCAAAGAGTCAGCATAGAATCCAGAAGAGAAAATAGGGTAGGAAACCATTGCAGCCAATTAGCAGGCTGAAAAATCAGGAGATTAATCTGAGTAAATAGTCAGCCAGTTCCCCTGGGTCACTACAACATTTAATAACAGTACCAGGTCTTCACCGATCATGGAAAGCATTCAGCAGAGAGTTACTCAATCGCCTAGTCCTGAACAATGCTCTACTGTTGGTGAAATGATGATGAAAATGGAATTTTGTCCGTTACGGAAAATAGGACAGTGAAAGACACAGAATGGCCTAATAAAGAGAGGAATGGACCAGCTATCAAAGTTTTATTTTTATTTCCTCTTCTGTCTGCAGGGTGACAGCAGAGGACTCATGTTCTGCCTCAGTTTCCCCACAAGATGCACTCTTAATCACAAGAATAATCCCCACTAATGTGGTTTGAAAAGTGAAAAAGACTCTGAATAAACATACCAAAAAGATATAATAAGGTTCTTGCAAACAAAATCAGTTCACAAACTTTTCTTTGTAGAAGATATTCTAAAAGTTATGGGAGTAAAGAGAATGGAAAAGGACTATCACACATGTGAATTAAGCTCTTTGAGGGCAGATGCAGGCAAATTACAGTAGCATGGACCTCTCCACTTGCTATTTAATCTCCGAGTAATGCACGTTCTGCAGAGCAACCCCCTGTGCAGACTTAGGCAAATTCCAGGAATTTAAGGCTGTCTTGAACATGCAGATGACTATTTACACTACTTCCCAATATCCTTAGCATGGAGGTATGCAACACTTCTCAAAAGTAGGTGGAGGTTTTTCTAGAGAACACTTCCCTCTAGCAATTGCTGACAAAGGAACAGTCTATGACACTGTTGCAAGGTAGAGGAAACGACAGCAACCGTAGCTATTATTTGCTGCTATTAACAATGCAGGTGATGTGTGGAAAGATAATGGAAAGGCAATACCATCTCAGTGCCTTGCCTCCAAGTGCTTAGCCTGAAAATCCAGCCTGATGTTCATATAGTGTTCTCAACCTGTAATCTGCTAACTCCTGTGATTAAATAGTTGTGCTTAAGATTATAACTGGTTTTAAGCTGTAACAGTTTAACACTAAGCATTGGAATTGACAAATGCCATTCCCCATTGAGCAAGGAACTGAACCTAAGCCTCAGGGCTGACAGCTGGAAGAGCACTCAACAGATGTGAAGGGAGGTAAGCCCACAAGGTAGAGTATTTTATTAATATCTGGGGAAGAAAAAAGGGAGAAAAGGAAAAGGGCCTAAAACATTTATTTTACACAGGCTATGCTGTTATGTTTGGTGTGCGGGCAGATCCTCCTAACAAATAGCTTCCAGCATGGCACGAGTCTTGCCTCCTAGGGAGAAAACGGGGAGAATTCTGTGCTAAAATATTTCTTGTGAATGGTACAGTGGCTCCTAGGAGCTGAAGGGCAGGAGAGGATGCTGTGGAAGTTTCCCCTATGATAGAGGATGGCGGTAGTTTTCAATACCACATGTGGTTTTGCTATGAGCTGAAGTGCCAACAGCTATGTAAAGCATCTATGAACATGGAGCTAGCAAAGAAAGGAAGGCTCAGGAACTGACCCCTTGGACTCTGGAGGACCCAGACCTCAACAGACTGATGTATGAAGAAATTAATTACCTCTAGAACTAGTCTTCACTGAGGACTGTGAAATGTGATCATTTATACATTACTACATTAATGTGATACTATATTTACCTATGCAGTTGGCTTTTCTCTTTCCCTCTTTAATGAAGAGTTGCTACACTCGGGAATGGGGAAAATTAGCTCATGAGGTATCGAAAAGTTTTTCCCAGGTTTCAGGCTTGAAGATGTTTTATCAACAGCCCTTGATAAATTTGAACTAATCCTTGTGACTTCCAAACAAGTCCTGACACAAGTTAGACTAAGAATAATTTTATGCAAGATTGGACCAGATGATCTCTAGAGATCTTTTCCAATCTAGACTTTTTTATGATGGTATAAATGGATGATTATTTTTTTTAATAACTGCTTGACTTAGAGGCAGAGCCATGTGAATAACTGATCTTTTGGTTAGCTGGATGAACAGAAGGTCAAGGAGGGAGACACAGTGTTGGGAAACAAAATTTTCCAACTCCCAGCAAAATTTCCTTTCTCATTACAGAAACACTTAGCAACATATCAAGGCATTGCATTCCAGGAGAAATGTCACAATTTCTAGTCCTTTCACAAAGATTATATTCAGTTAGGCTTTTTTGAACAAAATGCTACTTAGGATGAAAAATCAAAATGTTTAAAAACGCATTTCAGGCTTTTAAAAAAATGTGTTGTTTTCTTGAGGGAACTATTCATGAATTTCTGAAGAGGCAACTGAAAGCATGGATAGTCTCCAGCGAGCCTGACTTCATTTTTTGCCAGATAGACTATTTCATTAAAAAACAATCAATCCCTTTGTCTGCTTAATCACTGTTCTGACAGGCTGCAAAGGAAAGACGAAGAATTCTTGCTCCGTGTAGCGTTGCACAGAGTCACATGAAGGCTAAATGGAAAGCCAAACCTAATTTTGCAAGAAGCCATTAGGAGCCGTGGGCTCTCCAGTCCCACAAGGATAAAATCTTAACACAACAAGGTCCAACATTTTAGAAGTGAATGCCTGAAGGTCTGCTCACCAGGCTGCACTTCCCCATTTAAATACCTGAGCTGGCACACAAGAGTACTTAGCAAGCAGCATTGCAACTTGCAAGTTTGACAGAAAACACTGGGTGATCAGGGCTGTTCAAAGCCAGACTAGTTATTTTGGTACCTTGGAGATCTCAGCCCTTAGATGCATATTTGCATATTCATGCATGCACACAGTCCACTAGAAGTTAATGAGACCACACATTCCAATAAAGTAAATTTTTAAGTGGGTATTTAGGGAAGATTTTGAGTGTGACTTTAGGAATTTTTGTTTTTAAGCTAAATCTTTGCCCAGGATTTTCCTCACAGTTCTTAAGATGCCTTTTAATTCTTTTTCTCACCTTCTTCCTCACTGGATTACTAAGTAAAAGTAACCATTTTTCATAACATCCAGAAATAATAATAATTCAAAATGGAGTAATTAAATAATAAGTTAAAAAATATCAAACCTCTGCAAAAGGAAAACTGACATCAAGTGAATATTCCTATAGTTTGGATAAACCAAAATAATAAACAGAAATTGCTTCCTGAAGCAGCAACTCTTTTGGATGCTGCATCAAAACTGAGCTGAAAAGCCAGGTTTGCTCCCCTGGATAAGCCGAATGAACAGGACCCTGCTCCAAGTATCTGAGCAAAACTGGCTGAAAAAAAATAATGAAAGATGAAGCAGAGGCAAGATGCCGATTGACTGAGGGCGTATGGGAGACCTAAGGACAACAATTAATCATGGATCTGTAAGCTGTTTAAAACTACTCAATGCTCGGGAGCCAGTGAGGGAGCAGCATCTGTGTGCTCAAACTGGCTGCAGTTCCTCAAAAATGCAACTCAATCCAAATTAGGGGGAAGCACTGCCATGAGCACTGGTTCTCTGCACTCCCTCCCACTGGCAGAGAGCCCTGTACAACCTGCACCCCACCACAGGGAGTCATTGGAGTGTGGAGACAAAGCCTGGGTCTCTAAATGTTTAGAGAATCCACGTTTTTGGCAGCACGTTGGATTTCCTACCCAGGATTTGCACTGATGCCTGCTTGGACATGTCGGGATGGGAACGCCCAGCACAGGCCACAGAGTGTGCAGGTTGGATGGGGAACACAACCACTGTCGCTGCGTTTGAGGCTAATCAGGTTTGATGTCTCACCTCTTGGTTCAGCATGGGCTTGCAGCCCGAGTTTTTGTTGGTGAGCTGCAAGGGTGCTATCTGGCTTGTCATGTCTAATAAGTTTCTCTTCTGAAGGCTGATACGCTGAAAGATCTGTGCTGCTGATGTTAAAAGCTGGATTTTCAATGCCTTCTGTTGCTGCTCTCTCTTCTTTTACTACAGAAAACAAGGAGGTCAGAAGAGCACGTTATAGCAAAGTGTATTTCAATGACAAGCAGAAAATTCCTTCTAGTAATTCCTTAGCTGAAAGACTCAAGTGTATCGTCCTCAAATGTCGCCAAAACAGAATTAGGTTAAAATTAACTCAAAAAAAAAAAAAGAATAAATGATTAAAATAATTACAAATTGCACCCTGACAAGCAAGAGCAAAATTTCGCCCACAGCCATTTGTCTGTAATTAGTTAATTAATCCTTACACAAATTATGAGCAATAACTCATCAAGCAAGGCTCACCCATCAGAAATTCAGCCGACTTGGATTTCTTCTGCTTAGTTTGCTTCAGAGCCTTCTGCTGGAACTTCTGGAGGGAAATTGTTAAATGAATAAATTAGCTAAAGAACGAAGATCATCCTTTATGATCCACAACTAACACAGTATTTTAAATATGGGATGGCATTGAAATGTCATTTAATTTAAATCTCTGCTAAAGGGGTCAAACACTAATTGAACAACAGAAGTGGAAGAATTAAATAAAATAGAAGAAAAGTTAAAACAAATGCCAAATGAAGGTCACATTAAAATACTTTGTTTTTCCCCAATTTTAATTAATGCAAAGAAACCTCAACAAATGAAGAACATTATAAGACTTGTCTTTCAGTATACATTCAAAAGCAACTGCTTTATTTTACTTGCAGAATGGCAGCATTTCATTTAGAAAAGTTTGGTTATGCAGCATATTTATAGACAGACTTCCCTGACATCCCCTGTTCTCCTATTTTCTAAGTCCACTTACGTAACCAGTTTATTTGTTCATCACAGAGCAGCTAAAAATGAATGAGCTCTACCCTTTAGTACAACGCAATAGAATAAAAATAACACCAAAACTATTTTAAATGAGGTGTCACAAAAAACTGATCATGGTCCAGGGGAGAGAGGAAGCAAGACTCATTACAACAATGAAAAGTTCATTTAATATTAGAAAGATGCAATGACAGTGAAATTAAATAGCAGGAGATCTTGGGGGACCTGAACTGTGAAAAGTTTTTCAGTAATTCCCATGAGGAAGCAGGGCTCAAAAAATATATAGTCACATTATCCTAAGGAAGGCCCAGGTACTAAGCACTGGCTTTGTAGAATACCTGGAGCAGCACTGGGCAAGCATCACGCGTGGTCTCATACATGGCTACAGACCCCTATCACAGATGCTGACAATCAAAACAGGCAAAGATTATCAAACCAAAGCACATCTGGGAGTATTCATCAAAGCCAAAACCAAAGTAAGAAAACAGGTCAGACCCATTTATTTTAGAACATCACATGGCAGTTTCCAAAACCAGTATTTTTTTTTCAAGCCAGTTTCTTAATTGTCCAGTGATAAAGACCACTCCTGGCAACACAGCTCCTGGAAACTGTCAATACAAAAGGATTAATTACAAGAATCATTGAAAAATTGCATTTTTACAGCATCCATCTTTCCCATTTGATTGTGGGTGTCAATTTCCAGTAGAAAAACAGTGCTTGCAGCAGACACAATCAATAAATCTGTCAAAAATAACTGGACCATACCAGTGACAGATAAATATAGATACTAATATTTTCATTGTTATACATGTATATATGCAGACGCACATATATGTTATTTTGGAAATATATTCTTCTTCTAAATTCTAAATTAAGACTTCCTCTAAATTAAGACTAATACCCTACTAAAAAGCAAATGTGTGAAAACGACCAGACACATTCTGAAAGCTGCAATAAATAAATACAATAAGGGAAATAATTCCTACAAACCACATGCAGAACAACTGAAGTTAATGATAATTTTGACATGAGTTCAATAGGTTCAGAAATTTGCCCTACTGCTCCTGATTTTTTCACAATTGAAAAATCATTCAAAAATACATATTCATTCAGTTAGTTTCTTTAAAATTATACCTGTTTTGCAATATTAAAGCATTGGTGCATTCCTGCATGCCATAAAATTTTAATTGAGTCACTTTTAAAGATTCCAGAGTATTTGTAACACTGCAGTGTGATAATTATCCTTATTGTGCTGTGAATAATTATCACAAAAAACCTTAAACTTCATGTTAACAGCTAAAGAAAACAATATCAAAACAAAAATTCTGGGACAAATTTTCAGTTATATAAAACAGTACACATCTGCAACTTTGATGGAATTAAGATGATCTGTATTACATTCCGTGTATTCTTTTTCCATGTCAGATTTCCCTAGCAAAACTAATTGCACACTATATTGACTATAGTCAATTTTCAACTGTTTAAGTCTGTAAAATGTACAAGCTCCTTTCACAGAAAAAAGAAGAAAAAAAAATATGTTCTTCCTCCCCACATACAATACAGATGCGTAGTGGGGTTTAATGTTTTGGAATGGGTTTGAGTAGGTGTGTGTTTTGGGCATTTTATTGTTCAGGGTTTTGTTTTGGCATTTTTGTGTGCTTGTTTGGGAGGGGGAAGGTTGTTTGGGTATTGGATTTGGGGGGATTGTTTTTTTACTGTTCAATACAGTTAACACCAAATTTTGTTTTTTCAGTGATGCAACTGACTACATTCACTTGAGTCAAATGCAAGCTAATATTTTTAAGTAGTTGGTGTAACAGGCTTATGATCCCTACTTACTACAAAGAGATTATACCCTTGTCCCTTAATGCAATCAGGTTTTTAAAATGTATTTTTCATGAGTATATGTTTTAGAATGAAAGTAATACCTGGTTTTCAACTACAGAGAGGAATTCTTCCAGGACTGCTTCTCAACATAACTGAATAACAGAGTATTTGGCTGGTGGCTTTTGTGTAATCAACACGTGTTCTTGTCACTTTGTGCTGCAGAGGAAATTAGAAGACATTTTCCTTTCATACCTATTTCCAGCCAATTTCCTCATCCTTCTCTCTTTTACACATGAGCAATTTTAAGCAGTGTAAATAACATTCTTTCCCCCCTTTTTATTTTAGGTTTCCTTCCCCAGCCCCCTACCATTATGATACTTTGTCTTCTCATCAGAGAATAGGCAGGAAATTAACCAGTGGCATTTTATATTCATTTTATCATTAGTCACTACTAGTTAGTTTATGTATTTATGCAAATTTATGTCAAAAGCAAATGTTTTTTAATCAGTTCACACATATCTGCAAAACTTAGGTTTCCAATAACAAATTAAATAAAGTTTTTCAGTGACCACTTAATCTTTGCAGGCAAAGTCCAGTTATGTGAGCATACCTAGACAAATGCACATGAACACACATCCATATAGAAAGTCTCCATTCTAATTATGGAATATTATCTGAAAATAAACATAAAAAAAAGTATTCCTATTAAGAAAAAAGGAGAAGTTTCACAACTTGAGGCCAGAGCCTCAAGAGATACGAAGGCTGTGCTGGTTTACACCTGAGGTGGAGGGGGTACAACTTGCATCAGACCTGTCCATTCACAACTGGCACATAGAAAGGGGACGTCCTCTGCCTGCAAAGTCAAGTTTAAAAGGTGACGCTGCTGATAGCAATTCATCCTATCTCAAATCTCTATCACAGCTGCTGAAAAATAAAAAGTCTTGCCTTTTAACTATTTTTTTACTGTCTCTTTATCTTGAGTGTGCTACATTACAGCAAAGACAAGGGGAGTTAGGAGCATCTGAGCACAGCGCAGACTAGTAACCATGTCATTCAAAAAGTGATCTAAATCTTTAAATGCTTTTTTTTGCACACCATCATCATTAAAACGCACTGCCTGCTTTCTGATACTGACTGAAACAAAGGAAAACCGGGAGTACCAGAACCTGCAGTACTCACATCTGCAGGAGAGCAGCGAGCACCGCAACAACAGCAGCAGCAGAAGCAGCAATGGTGAGGGAAAAAACCCTCATTTATAACCAGTGACAACTAAAACCTATGAAGTTTTTAAAAGAATGTGATTGTTGTCAAAAGGAATTGGGTACAACAATGCTGCGTTCAGCTCTGGTTCCACTCAAAGCCGTGGCTGAGGGGCTCTGGGAAAGCTGCTGGAAGGCTGGTGGGCACAGACCAGCAAGAAAGTGAATTTTGCATACTGTACGGATCATCGCTCAGTTCAGGGCAGTCATATTGAATCTGTGATCAACCAATTGTGCTTCATGAAACCGTCAGCCCTCATTTATGTCTAGCTGTTTTCTTCTGTCCTACTGTAAACAAGCTCTGCTCTGAGCTGTCTCCCTACCCTTATCTGCTTAGGAAGATCACACAGACAGACCTCATCAGCAGCCTTAGAGTTAAAGTTAAAGTTACTGCTTCCAGACAGCAGTCCCCATGCAAGCTGGAAGTCAAAAAGAAGAGCAACTTTGGAATGACAGAGTTTTAGTTCCTTTTAGGAAATGCATACCTTAGATTCATACACATACTGGCATGTTATGTCTCTTTCATGAAATTAAATTAGGTGTTCCTAATATGAACAACTGTTTCTAACATCAGCAAACTAGCTCAGCAGATTCATCTACGCTTTTGTTTGTAGGTTGGTTGTCTTGCTGTTGGTTGTTGGAGGTTTTTTGGTGTTGTGGGGTTTTTTTTGTTTGGTTTGGGGTTTTTTTGTTTGTTTTTTTTTCCTTTGAGGTCTTGTTTGAACACAATCAAAAGACAAGTATCTGGAAATATTGTCAATCTGGTAGGGCTCCAAGAACCTAATAATTCCTGAAATGCTCTAAGGAATGTAATGATGGTAAACAGGAACAGGTATGTTGGCTTCTGTTCTCATTCACTTCAGTGAGAGCATTAGCCTTTCAACATAAAGCAGAACACAGTTTTCAAAGAATGATCCTCTTGAATAAAAAGGGATGGAGCCTTACTAATCACATATTCCGCTGTCAACACACTCACACACACACAAATGCGTTAGTTGGTATTTACAGCATTTAATTCTTGCAACCAGCTGCTAAGTCCCTCTTAAGTCTTTCCTTTATGCAGCTGGAGCTGAAACCTCTTCCCTTCTCCTAGACTATTACTTTGTCTACTTAAGGGATGGCAGCCAAAGAGAAACAGCTTGTAATTTGCACCTGTCAGCTTTAAGCACTCCATGTTAGATTTTGCAGAAAGCAAACTCTTCATTGCTAAAGAGAATGAAGCTTCTTAGGGTCAAAAATGGTTTTTAAGCTGACTCTGCAGCAATTAATAAATAAACAAATAAACCCTCACTTTGTTTAAGCCCATTCTAGCTAGACAATAAGGCAAAAGGAAAAACCCTGTCATAAAAGAGCACCTCAGTGTGTAGGTAGAAGATGTAACCCCATGTGTCTAGTCTAATATAATACCAGGCACAGCTAAACATGATTGGACCTGTATGCTGGCCATGCAGGAGCACATGGGAGAGCTTTGGCTTCTTCCCCTGTAAAATTCAGAATTGCTTCAGAAAACAATCAGGTGCAAAGAGTCCTTCTGAATTTCTACAAACTGGGGTGCCTTTTGAGGACTCACAGTAAGCTTTGCCATCTAGAGTGTCAGGTCTGTGAGAAAATTATTTTCATACAACTAAAAAGAAATATAAGCTCCACTCCTGATCCAGAGGTGTGCAAGCATTGCCATGCAGAGTCCCACTAGCTGGAGTGTAAAGCAGTGAAGGTGTACATCAAGGAAGTAACCCACGTATGATCTTTCAGTCATACACAAACTATCTTAGCATGTTTGCTTCTTGCTAGAAAACAAGTGCTTTCAGTCAACTGCAGTATCATTTACAATTGCATTTAAAGAAACAACAGTCTCACTGGTGTATTCATTTAGTTACTGAGAAGTAGGCTTTTCATTGCTTGCTCTTAAAATAGAAAAGCCCTCAAAAAACTCAAGCTGCAGAGCTGATGACAAGAACAAAAATGCCAGGGGTGAAAAAAAACCTAGAAGGGAAATAAAGTAAAACACACAATTTATTAAAGAAAACATTGGTGCTGCATTTTGATTTCATAAATTGTCCCCATTTGTACTTCCTGTTTAAACAATAACTAACATGATGATGGGTTAAATGAAGTTGAGATTGTCACAAACATGGCCTCACTAGTAATTAATGTAGTTTAATATGGTTGTTGGCACACATCTCACATGACAGATAATGTTCCAACATGTCACTGATAGGACCTTTCAGCACAGCTTTAGGAGATCTACCAGGCATTGCCGAGGTTGGTTGGGTCAAAGGGTTGAACCATGTGTAATTCAGAACAGAAGAGGTCCCACGGTCACTCCACAAAAACAATTACACTACTTATTTCACTCCATCCCTTGCCCGAAATTCACAAGCCTCACAGTTTCAGCGCAGTCAATCTCACTCTGCCCTGGGGCTATGAGCCACATGAAAATATGTGGTGCTGTGTTTATAAATCTAATCAAAAATAGAAACAGTAGACAAGCACAATGAGGTCCTACTATGGATCATGGGAATTCTCTAAATTCTGAAGGCACTTTTGTTTAACTTCTCTGGGCCTTCTCCTACCATTACATTGTCTGGTACTCTCGTTAATCATCCCCTTGACTTGTCAATGATATAAAGGAGCCTATACGTCTCCTAACTTCCCTCCCATCACACTACAAATAATATTATGAAATAGCAACGGTAGGAATAGTCCCTTTAACTTTTCCTTTTCAAAGCATGGTTTTTCTTCACTTACCTCTTTCTCCATGCCAGTCTGCCCTTTCTCAGACCTGCAGCAAAAAATGCTTCCTCCTGCAACAAAGGAAAGGCAGTACACCTGAATTTTCAGTCTGCACAGTTATTAATACCACTAGATTTAACAGACAGACTAGCAGAGCACTAGCCTAGAAACCTACCAGGATAGGGAGCGGAGGGGGTCCTTCCTGATGCTGTCCCTACTCTGACCTTGCCAAAGAGCAAAGGGAGGATATAGAGCTGTTTCATCACTTTATCTTTTTGAAAACAAATTTGCATCAGGTCATGAAAAAACAAGCTAACAAATATAAACAAAAAAACCACATAATTTAAGCTCATATGAAGAACTGCCAACAAAAACAAGGTTTTGAGTCAAAGTAGCCCAGAAGTAGATAATTCCTACCCCCAGACAGTAAGTACTAAAATGACTCAGAGTTTGCTGTGGCATACACCTTATCTGAAGACTACAGTACCAAAGCTGTCAGACTCAGGAAGGCTTCTGTGATCTGGTATTTCTGTGGGTCCCATTTGTGCCTCATTCCTTGTGCTGTGATTTCCATTAAAAGGAAGAAAATTGTCCTCTACTTTGAGGTTATAATTAAGCAAACATACAATAACTTTACAAGTTATATATTATATCAGCAAAAATGCCTCAATTTTATACCAGCTACTTTTTTTCTCTATATGGGAATAAAATTTATTAATTCAAAATGGCTGGACAGGTTGCCCCTGCATTCACTGAAATCAATGGCAACTCAGTCTGACTGCACTTGCAGCACCTGAATCACAATGAATAACAAGCTTCTTCCTTTGCCAGCTTTTCCTTTATGCATTTACACAAACATAGATTCAGGTTATTTTGCTGAGCCTGAAAACAAAACAAGATATTGAACAATTAAAAATATCCCTTCAGAGTCACTCAGAAGCTCTAGCTGACCTTCTGGGTCAGAAGATGCCCTGTACAGAGTACATGTTTGGCCCAAGTTGAGGAAACCCTCTCTCCTGAGGGCACCCAGCAAAGAAGTGCCTAATTCTGAGTACATGCTGAAATTTCATTGAAATCAATACAATGGACAGTGGACAGAGCCACAAATACTCCGTGGAAAAAGGCTGCATTGTCACTCTAGCTGTTCAGTAATGAATGAAGATCTGAGCTTTTGCTGACGCTGAGAGCCTGCTGACCTTTGCCATCACTCCTCGATTTTGGTGCCCTTCTTGGGGTGCCAAGGCCATTGAAGCAATGCTGGGGGCTGCAATTCCAGCAGCTCCCATTCTTCCTACAGCCAGCCCTGCCCAAACAGCCCCTGCACCGTAGCCCATGTCTGTCACAAAAAACTTGATCTCTACTCCATGGCATTATGTGATATTGAAAAAAAAGCCCCAGCAAGACCATGCAGGTAGGCTCAGGTCATGTAACTAGTCGTTGTGTCTCTAAAAACAACCCCAGAGTCCCAATTCCAAAATCTGGGATGAGTTTCCAGGACAAGGTAGTATCTGCTTTACTTTTCCAGCTACTGGAACTGTACATCCACTGAATGCAACAGGTAACTAATTTCATGCCCAATGGCATGGCATATTCCTTGTCATGACTCAAACAAGAGCAGGAAAAAAGAAGCACCTGTATGAATCAAAGGCAATAAAAGTTTGAAGGGGCTCCTTCCCTTTTCAAAGGACAATTGCAAGAAGCTGTCAGCAGAAGAGAACTGATCAAGAGATAAGCTATAAATTCAATGTTTTCATCCATGGTCAAACTCTGCTCATTGGAGAGGAGACAAAGATGCAACAACAAGAACTTCCAAAGCAGTAATAGTCAAAGGAATCTAAACATTAATGGAAAGACTTTGAGTTTCATCTTAAAGAATGTGGTTGACCAAACAAGGACAGCACAGACAAAGATAACAGAATCACAGAACCAATCAGACTAGAAAAGACCTCTGAGATCATCAAGTAAGATAGATAAACAATGAGTTCAGAGGAGATATTAGGCACATTAGTTCCTAAACAGTGATTTTCTTAGAGTTTGGGAACTTCCTATTATTTGGGTTTTCTGGGAATTTTTTTTTGTTAGTTTGCTTGGGTGGGGGACACTTTGGTGTGTTTTTTAAATGAGGGTGCTAGACATCGTTTTTTCTTTATTCTTTATAATACCAAACAGTCAACACATTCAACACTGCATTAACTGATTTTGACTGTGGCCTTACTTAACCTCACCAGCCTATTTTCTTTAGCTGGATAACAGCTGAATCATTAGCATTAAACTAGCTTGCAGTCCTGAAAGAGTACAGCAGAAAGAGAGTACATGATTTTTCCATCAATCAAAACACAACATAAAAGATATTTGAGATACCACCAGATATTTTATTTTATACCCAGTTGATGTGTTTTGCATGATTAAGGGATGGACTTCAGTTACTTTTAGGTACATTTGTAGTAAAATGGCAAAGTAAAACTATTACTTAGACATTCTTAAATTGGATACCTTTGCCTTTTTTTTTTTTTTTTTTGCCCAATTATGCTTTATTTTCTACCAGAGGAAAAACTAAGGATGCTAGATTAAGTTGACAAGATATATTAATAACTTTCTGTAGTGAAAGTAATCTATTTTTAAGGCAAAAATGGAGGAATTGGAGAACTGAACAAAAATAACTCTTAGCACCACAACTCCATTAACAAGCTCCCACCGCCAGTCCCACATCCGGAAAAGATCAAAATAACACACCTTTGCACTGGAGCATGCTCAAGTGCATCTTTCTCACAGTAGTGGATATTTTATGCTGTATCAGCTACTAGAAATGACTTGGACTGCATGAAAAGCCAGTATACAATAAGGGTCTTGCAAATGTAGCTGTAAAATATACTGTTTTCACCATGCTGGTATGCAGAGGGGAAAAACTGTCCTGTTTGTAACCATGTACCCAGCATCTCCTTAAAGTACACCCAAATGCACAGGCACATTATCACTGGCCAAGGAAAGCAATGCCAGGCTCAGCTAAGGTGTTGGTGATTGCTGGCAGAGAAATACCAGGTTCATAGCAGGAGCAGCAAAGCAACAGTCTGTCATCGTGGTGGCTGTCTTCACTCCTTTCTCACCTTCACCTGGTACACAATTTATCACATGATAAGAAGCAGTGCTGTGGGATCTCTGTGCTACAATATCAGCAGAAACCACTGAGTAAATGATAACCCTAACAACCTACTTGTAATTCCCTTTGGACTCTCTCATAAATACCAGGTAGCCAGCACTGGTCTTTAAGAAGTATTTCTTCAGGGGAAAATTGCACCTCCAGTGCAGAGAATCCATCAGTCACTTAAATTCAGCAGGACTGACCTTTGAAGCCACAAGCACTGTGCTTATCCTTCTTTCATCATCAATTTTGGGAGCAGGTCCTTCAAAGTAACCTCAGATCCATTCTACACTTTTCCTTTTTTTATTTTTTTTTCAATTTGAAAAGTAAGAAGCTTACTGCAAATATGTCTTTATAAAGATCATTAACACACTTGAAATTAAGATCACATTCAATTACTTGATAGCTTGTGATGTTCCTAGCCTTTTTCTGTGTGCATGAAAAAAATAGATAGATACACGATTTTTCTATTGATAAACCTCAGTAGGCAGCTAAGCATCACTCACCTGCTCACTCACCCTCTCTTCCAGTGGAATAGGGGAGAGAATCAGAAGGGTAAAAGTGCAAAAACTCAGATACAGACAGTTTGGAATCATAAAATGTTTTGAGTTGGAAGGATCTTTAAAGATCCTCTAGTTTCAATCCCCCTGCCATGGACAGGGACACTTTTCCTAGACTAGGTTACTCAGAGCCCCATCTTACCTGGCCTTGAACACTTGCAGGGATGGGGGATCCACAGCTTCTTTGGGCAACCTATTTCAGCGTCTCACCACCCTCACAGTAAAGAATTTCTTTTTAATATCTAATCTAAACCTACTCTCCTTCAGTTTGAAGCCATTCTCATTTGTCCTGTCACTACATGCTCTTGTAAATAGTCTCTCTCCATCTTTCTTCTAGAGTCCCTTCAGGTACTGGAAAGTTGCAGATAGAACACCTTGAAGCCTTCTCTTTTCCAGGCTGAACAAACTCAGTTCTCTCAACCTTTCCTCATAAGAGAGGTACTCCATTGCTCTAATCATCTAATCTCTGAACTTGATCCAACAGGCCAATGTCCTTCCTGTGCTTAGGTCTCCAGAACCGGACGCAGCACTCCAGGTGGGGTCTTATGAGAGCAGAATAGAAGGGTAGAATCACTTCCAATGACCTGCTGGTCATGCCTCTTTTGATGCAGCCCGAGATACAGTTGACATCCTGGGCTGCCAGAATTTATTTTTTTAAAGAAGGAACAACAAAAAAAAAAAGCGAGGGGGGGTGGGAGGTGGGAAAGGAGAGGGAGAGGAATGAAACCACAAGAAAAAAGTGATGCAAAAGAAAACAATTGCTCACCACCAACTGACTGATGTCCAGCCAGTCCCCAAGTGGCTTTCACTCACACCCCTCACTTCAGTTTTATTGCTGGACATGACATCATATGTTATGGAATATTCCTTTGGTCAGCTGGGGTCAGCTGTTCCAACTCTTTCCCCTCCCAGCCTCTTGCATAGCCCCAGCCCACTCGCTGATGGGGTGGTGTGAGAAGCAGAGGAGGTCTTGACACTCTGTAAACATGGCTCAGCAATAGATAAAACATTCCCGTTATCAACACTCCTATCACAAATCCAAAATATAGCCAAAATAAAAGTTACTATAAAAAAATTTAATCTCAGCCAAAGCCAGTACATCACGTCATGCTGGTAGTTCCTGTGGAAGTTGCAAATACCAAATTTTAGTTTCTGTGCCATCATTCCAATATTCCCATTTCCCACCAAATGGAAAGCACCACACACTTCAGAGTCTAGTTTCAGAGCTGCTTATGGATGATCATCTCCTGATGAAGTCACAGGGCTCATGTTTGAGAGTATTGAAATTTTTAGTGATCATCATCTGATAGTACTGGGAGAGGAGTGAAACCAGCCCCAGCCTGGACAAAAGGCTTTCCAGAATGGGATGAGA